CAGAGTCCTGGTAGAAAGTTCGGAGATGGTATTAAAGTAGCTCAGTTTAAATGTATTGTATGAATTGCCCTTGCTATGGAATAAAAAATACAGGGTGTATATTTACATTTAGTAAAATGTGATTGTGAAACATCAGCTCCAGTGGTGCAGATGGATAATCGTGTGTCACCATCTTTTTGAGGCGATCGACCCGGGTTCGATCCCACCTTTTGCCAAGCTTTTTTTTCCTCCCTTTTCAAATCTCGTGTTAGCAATGGATTCTATTTACACTAAGTGAAAATAGCAATATTTTTAGCAATATGCTATTTACACTAAGTGCAAATACCTATTTACACTATGTTAAATAGCAGGATATCTACTATCAAGTATACTACTTGTTAGGCGGGATCGAACCCGGGTCGATCGTGTCAAAAAGCCAAGGTCAAGCACTTATCCATCTGCACCACTGAAGCTAATGATATACAGCCACTTCTAACTAAATCTAAATATACACCCCGTATTTTTTATTCCAGAGTAAGGGCAATTCATACAATACATTTAAACTGAGCTACTTTAATACCATCTCCGAACTTTCTACCAGGACTCTGCTGTTCTTCGGCTGGTTCTTCCTGTATACGTTGATTGACAGATGTCTCGTCCAGTCAGTGGTGAGTAATCCCAAACCAATGGCGCTGTCTCAAACTGTATCTACCTTTTCCGGTTTGTCTGATTTGTCATTGTGTTTTCTGACTTGTTAATTTGTTTTCAGATTTGTCGCTGTGTTTTCTGACTTGTTATTTTGTTTTTGAATTTGTCATTGTGTTTTCTGACTTGTTATAATGTTTTCTGAATTGTTGTTGTGCTTTCTGAATTGTTATTTAGTTTTTTAGACTTGCATTTGCATTTGTAATTTGTTATTTTGTTTTCAGAATTGTGATTTGTTCTGCACTTCTCGGCCACCGTACTAAAGCTCCCTCTCTTGCTCTACATTAGAGGATTCAAACATAATGTCAAAATTCTGCTTTGCAAACCCATCATATCACATGTATCACAACTAAGCATTTTTACTCAAGTTCATATAGTATTAATTACTTTAGAAAAGCAAAACTACTAAATAAAATCATTCTAGAATTCTGGTTTATAATACATGGCAGCAGTTCTGATAAAGCCATTGGGGGGAATATTTTGGGGATATAGATTAAGTAATTTTTCTTATTTGTATAGAATTACTTTGCTGTTATACCAGCGTTTGACTGTTATTGACATCACCAGCATGTCATTCATCACTTTTTATTCAAGAACAATGTGGGTGGAGAATGCTGTCAGCTGAGATTGAAAGGGCAAGGCACATTCACAACAAAATGTTTTCGACAAGAAAACCCTAATTAATAAACGCAAGCAATAATTTCCCTCTAAAAGAGTTTTCTTGCAAGTGTCCAAAGCTGATTTGTTCACCTTGACTCCACTGTGAACTCTGAAAAATCATTTTTTCATTTAATAATATTCTTGACAACTTAATTTTAAGGATGCAGGTTTTCTTCACAGTAACGGTGCTGCAGATCACTGTTCTTCAGTCTTCCATGTTTTTTGTGATCCTGGTTTTGGTGTAGACGCTGAACTGGTCTTTCCTACAGCTGCCTTCTCCTTTTTGCTTTGGCTATCATCACCTGTTTGCCTTTCTCTGTTTCGGTTTAATGCTTTGTTTAGCGCATTCAAAATGACATCTTTGTTGTTTTGGATGTTGTAGGAAGTGAGGTTGATGAGCCTCTGGAAGTCCTCTGGTGTGTAAGTCAATTTGTGGGTGAGATATGGGGAGGTGCTACTGTTAAATTCAACATCAATCGCTCCCTCCTTCCGCTCCTTCTCACCCTCCCTCTTCACTCCTAAACCACACCCATACACACAATTTTACATGAGCATTTTTACAATGAAGTGCATTCTTGGTTATTTGAGCTGATGTACCAAACAATAGCAATATCCAATCACACTATACTACAATTAAGCTGTTAAAAGTGCTTTAGAGCTAGCAAAAGTATGGATAAATATTGTTGAAGTTTTAAATATGTTTTTAAAATATATTCAAATGTAAAAAAAAAATTTAAACAGTAAATTTCGCAATATTACTATTTTACTGTATTTTGATCAAAAATGGCAGCCTTGGTGAGCATTAAAGATCCTTTTTGAACAGTAGTGTATATTGTCCATTATTATGGATACATGTATATTTATAGTCAAAAATATAGACAAAATCTATATAAAATATACCCAATATATATTTTATATTTATGTGTATTTACACAATATAACATTAACATTTTAACCATGTTTGAGGAATATAAATACAGTCCTGCCTTAGAAGCACTGTAATTCCTATTAGGAATATGGCAGAAGGGATGTAAAGAGTGATGGTAGTGCTTACCAGGAGCTTTGAACTGCTTGAATGAGACATTGACCAAGGGAAAGTGAAGCACTATGGGAGCTTCCGGATTGTCTTTATCCTCAAACACGTAAACTTCCTTCAGCGGCTCTGACTCCACCTTTTTGAAATCGATCTTTGGAAATGGAATATTCCGATCAGCACAGTATTCCTGAGATTGCTTTATGACCTATTGGACACAAACAGGCATCATTTTTATTTTTTTAAGTTCCTGATATCTGCATTTCAATCAAAACTTATAGAATCTTCCAGGTCCTCACCTTAAACTGATCTGGTTCCCAAGAGTAGTTTAGAGACAGAATAACGTCCACATGTCTGTGAGAGCGAACCAAAGGAGGAAATCCTGCATTTACGGCAAATCCAGCATCTACTAAGTTCAGCACAGGATCAGCTGGAGTCATGGTGTTAGGAAAGGCATCTGGGTGTGTGTCTGTAGACAGAGCATGAATATTATGGATGACTCCAAACACTATCAGCTATTTAGGTATAAACAGCCTTGGTTATATTTCATAAAATGACAGACATCCCCAAATTACATCCACACACATGAAATAACACTAATATAATATATAGCCCATCTGAAGAAAAAATATAATAAACACAGAATGCACACTTGAAATGGTCAGTGGTATAAGTAGAGCTCTAGACCTTTCCATGCGATGAAGCCCGTGTTCTTATTGTAGCTGTTGTGCAGGTTGAAGCCCCTCAGGAAGTTGTACATCTGGCTGACAATGGGGCGGCTGGTCATAAAGCCACACATCATTTTAGCAAAGTCAGTCACAGGGCTGATCAGGTATGTGCCAAGTGCTGTTGGTTTACTATCAGTCTCTTTACAGAAGAAAACAAGAAGACAATTGCATCATGTCACTGTATAATAATTAAACTCAAATGTAACTACCATTCAAAAGTTTGGGGTCGGTAAGATTTGTTTTTTGAAAGAAGTCTGATGAGAATGTAATGCATTTATTTAATCAAAACTACAATAAAACAGTAATATTGGGAAATATTGTCACAATTTAATCTTTAACATATAATTTATTCCAGTGAAGGCTAAACTGAATTTTCAGCAGCCATTATTCCAGTGTTCAGTGTCACATGATCCTTCAGATATCATTCTAATATGCTGATTTGCTGCTCAAGAATAATTTATTGTAATGATCATGAAACTCTTAAGTTAGGGGTTAAAATGCAACACAAACTCTCACCTGTGTTACTCACTCCTCCTCCAGGAAAACAAGAAGACAATTGCATCATGTCACTGTATAATAATTAAACTCAAATGTAACTACCATTCAAAAGTTTGGGGTCGGTAAGATTTGTTTTTTGAAAGAAGTCTGATGAGAATGTAATGCATTTATTTAATCAAAACTACAATAAAACAGTAATGTTGGGAAATATTGTCACAATTTAATCTTTAACATTGTATTTGTCAATAAAAATATGTTTTTAAATATAATTTATTCCAGTGAAGGCTAAACTGAATTTTCAGCAGCCATTATTCCAGTGTTCAGTGTCACATGATCCTTCAGATATCATTCTAATATGCTGATTTGCTGCTCAAGAATAATTTATTGTAATGATCATGAAACTCTTAAGTTAGGGGTTAAAATGCAACACAAACTCTCACCTGTGTTACTCACTCCTCCTCCAGCCCAAGGCGTCCAGGAAGGTTTGACTCCTGTGGCAAGACTCCAGATATCTGTCAGATTTATAGAGAAAATGCTGCTCCACATTCCTTTAAAACCACACACAGAGTTTGGAATTATTAATTGTGACTGATTACAGTTTACATCATTTGCTTACAGCACAGGATCGTGTTCAAATAGAGATGTAGACTCCCCCTACTGGTCATAATAAGCAACACACATTTTTTTAGATCCTGGGTGCAACATGCCACTTTCTCCTTCTCTTTCTTACGGCCTTCAATTTTTCTTTTGTTTCATGTTTTCATTATGTGCATAAACGCACATACACTCAAACTCACCTACAAGAAAGGACAATCCAGTTTCAGGGAGTTTCTTGACCATGTGACCGAGGTAATATTCACTCCCGAAGTTCTGTGCAGGTACAAAGGCACCATATTTGGGAAATCCAACCTCATATGGAGTGAATTCACACCATTCTAAACAGGAAACAGAAAGAAACATAGGATTATTGATCTGTTATAAGCTCTTTTATTCGCAACATCAAGCTACAAGCTAATTGTTTATTACCTACTCCTTACTTAAGCATACAGTGAACCTATTCTAAAATGTTCTGTAACTCTTTGGATAAGAAAATTATTTGCATGTGTTTATATCTTCAGAACAGTTGCTGAATAGTCTCTTATAGCTATTGATACTGTACATCACTTCACGGGAAGCTGATACAACAATGTATCCAACAGTCATTGCACATCACTCCAGCACTTGAAGAAGTTTGAATAATATAAAGGCAGTAAAAAAGGATTTGTACTTGACTGGTCACAATTATAAAGTGCACAAGGGGCAACAGCTACAATGCAACATTCATAATTATACTTCTAATATAACCAAATGACATTTATTTTCATATTAAACATCACAACAGACATTTACTGCTTTTAAATGACAATTTATATTAATTACATGTCAAATAAAACATGAATGTATTATACAAGTATAATACAAAAACCTATGGTATTTTATATTAGATTTATTTACAGAATTATACTATAATACCTTGAGCTCCTCTAATATGCAAGTGTCAACTATGGTTAATGACGTTGCAGTTTGTTCAGAATGAACGCATTTAATCAAATGGCATGAACTTCAATACAAACAAACTTTTGACTATATAAGAAAGTCTGGTTCACTTATTAGACTGTATGAGTTTATAATATGTAAACTGTCTGACAAATAGGTAAAAAAAAATCAAACACATTTTGATGATATAAACACTATCTTGTTCAAACTATTGCACAGCAGTTTCTATGTACATGTACATATTATACTTAAGCATTTTGATATATCAAGTATATTATTCCATGAACATACCATATCTCTTAAAACAAAGCAGAACATACATTGACGCCCAATGACATCATGCCACCTTGACTCAAATAGTGTGTGAGACCAGTATAGCAGGCAGTATCTACGTCCTAAACAAATTATGTTATTTACAGAAAGCGCGCTTAAGCACAATTGTGTTTGTTTGACACAGTTAATACTGCGGTATTATGAACTTACCGCCCATGTGTTGTTTACATACATTTTTTATATGTGAAGATGATTCAGACTTATGTCTTAGTCTGAAACAAGAAGCTGAATGGCACTTAAATATTTTATTAGTACATACCTGCATCTATTACACTTTCTGTTTTGCCATGCTTTAGGTTAACAGCTGTGAATATGGGGAGAGGGTTCTGGCCTTCAGACACTGTCCTCTGCATTCCAGATAGTGTACCCATGGGTTTCTATAAAAGTAAAGTGTATTATATTGTGTACCAAATTTAAACACACAGTTAAAACTGACAAGCAAACACTATTTGTGCTTTTTTTTTTTTACCTTCCCTTGGAAAAGATACTCTAACGCAAGACCCCACATGTCGATGAGAGACACAAGGTGTCCTTCCTTCTCTCGCTCTTCCATCCTCTGTTTGTACTCCTTTAGCTGCTCTAAGGAAAACATACTGAGTGCCTTTTTAGAGAGCTCCTTCTTTATAGACTCCATAGACTTGTCAATGCCACCGTTTGACCAGTTAGGGTCTCCATAAAGAGAGCCTAGGGCCCTGAAATAATAATAACAATTAATGCATTTAGCAGAGTCTTACAGTGCATTCAGGCTATACACTTTTTATCAGTATATGTGTTCCCTGGGAATCGAACCCACAATCTTTTGTGCTGCTAACACAATGCTCTACCACTGAGCCACAGGAACATGTACTATGTTTATTATGAAATACGAGGATTAAACAAAAAACTTACAGGAGAAATGGCACACATGGTTTTTATCAGTCTGTCTAGAAACAAAGTCATGTTTAAAAATACATTAAGACTCCTCATTCTCACCAAGTAGCACCTGAAACCCCTGTGATGTAGCTGACTGCATCAAGAAGCTGGATCTTCTGCAGACCCTGAAGGCTACCGTATGTGCTTGTTAATGCTCTGCTCCCACCACCAGAACACACCACAGCCACCACTGGGACCTGAGGAGTCACATCAAACACAGAATTCAATTTTAGTCTATTTGTTGTTGGGTATTTGTATTCTATACAAACAATAGAATCAAAATTTGACTTTGATTGTACAATAGGAAAACGTCCCTCAGTTCTTTGCTGAGTATCTGGGTGATTTGTGCTTGTGTATAAAGTACCTTGCTGGGCTTAGGTGCAGAGCTGAGCTTCAGGGCTTTCTGTAGAGCCTGTGACACGACTTTTTTTCTCTTCACCAGAAAATTATTTTCTTCCACTGGGATATCAAAATCCAGACGCACATCCAGCTCTTCATCAGAGCTTCAGAACACACAAAACCATTTTTATTCTGAGGTTAGGATGGATTTGAAATGAAAGCTGATACATTGTATTGTAATTTACAATATTTCATTTAATACATTCAAATTATAATTTACTATTAAACTACTACTGAAGATAGATGTGAATTAATTCATGATTTGTTACCGATCATCCGTATTCAGTTGCAGATCAACTTTATTCTTTGAAAAAAAAGAAAGGTCTTTTTAGATAAAATGCACAAAATATGAGTATAAATACAGGATTGTTTAATATATTAATTATGAGAAAAGATGGTGAGAAATTTATATTACTTAGTTACTGTATTATGTGTTACTATATTATCAATAAACCATTTTTGGAGTGTCCAAAAATGCCATGCATCCAAAATAAAATTATTTGTTCATATATGTGTGTGTACATGTATATATAAATACACACACATACAGTATATATTTTCAGAATATTTACGTATTTATTTATATAATTTATATTATATATAAATATAATTTAATATATAAACATAATATATTTTTCTGAAATATATAAATGCATGTGTGTGAATTTATATATACATAATAAATATACACAGTACACACACATATATTATGTAAACATATTTACACAACTTTATTTTGGATGCGATAAATTGCGGTTAATCGTTTGACAGCACTAATTGAGATTTAATCAATTAATGAATCAATAACTCACCTCTCCCAGAGGCAAAGAGACCGTAATCTGTTGTTTGGCTGGTAATGGTTTTAAAGGGATAGAAGTCAATCCAGTGTCCACAGGGTCTGGAACAGCAGCATCCACTACTGTCCCAATCTGGAGAAAAGTATGTTCAAGCAAACATTTAAAGCCAAACTTTGTTTGTTTCATGTGCTTTATAAATCTACAAGCCATTATGTGAGGTACTGTATACATACATACTGTTTCATAAGTAATAAATTGTATGTGGTAGATTTTACAGCAATTTACAATAAAATTGTAATGCCAGTTGTCATGGATGACTTACATTTGCTGGGCTGACAATAGTCTCTGAGGTCAGATTAAGTTCAGTTTCCAGGTCTCGGTTGATGTAGTAACGTAACGTTTTCAGGAAGCTTGCTGGAACTAAGCAAAAAACACCTAAATCCAGGATTATATGTGTTTCCAAAATGTATTTATATAACAGAACATTTTAACATTTTAACATCTTTTACAGTTATTTCTGAACATCACTGAATTCCCAGTAGCTGTCTAATATCATTTACATTTATATCATAACATTTGCATGGGAAATGTGGATGAAAATGTCTTTATTTACCTTCAGTCTTCTTTAGAAGCTTGTCTATCTCCACATTCAGCTCACAAAAAGGACCTGCCTATTTTAAAAGGAAAGCATAAAGCTTATCTGATAAAGGTTATCTTATATATTTATTGTAAAGTAGTTTAGTTAAGAGTGCATGTAGCCTATATTAAAACTGTAGCTTTTTAGGAAGACACCTTCTTATACTGTACATCAGAAAATCATTTTAAATCATCTGACTGCAACTCATGATACAGATAAGAAAGCTGTAGTAAAGGTTTTACCACCAAAACTCCATTAGAGATGCATGCCGTTGGTGTCTCAGAGCTGCAACACATTTGTGTGTTAAACACAAAACAGACACTTTCAGATTTATGTGTATAGACACATTCAACTGTACAACCGGTTCTCACTTGTACCTATTTTTGCAAATGCTCACTAGAACTGCTGAAGGCATACTCACTCACCTCTTAGTGATCTCAAACTCCACCCACAGTTCATCCTTGGTCTGAAAACGAAAGTAGTCACAAATTAAATATCAAGGGCTCTATCAACTAAGTGTTTATTTTATGTTGAAATGTCTGTTTAGATATGAGATCTCCATATAGCACTGACCTTGTCATTTATTATAAAGCATTTGGTCTCCTTTTTCCCAGGTGTGAGGTTATTGATGTCAAATAGGATAGTGGCACAATGGTCGTCTCTCATTAATGGATCCTCATCATAGATCAAGATCTCTAGAATGTTCTGTGTATAGAAAAGAGCAAAAAAGGAGTTAAAGTGTCGTTCATATGACACATCTTACTGGAGACATAAATAGCGAAGGTTAGAAATAGGATATAACATAATAAAACATTCTAAGATCAGACAACATTTTAGTGGTTTACCTTGATGTTGCTGTGCACTCTGAAAGTGAAAGTTTCATTCCATTCAGGTTTCTTGCTATTTGATATAGTCTTGGTGCGATTTGTACGGACCGATGCTGTGGGTAAGTTCAGGATGACATAGCAGTCAGACGCAGTCACTAAAGAGAAATTGAGGTAGGGTTGGAAAAGTTAGTAAGTTGGCTGACAGAATTAAGTGTTGATCTATTTGTATGCATGTATACTCATAAATAGAGGTTACTGTTGGACTAGTTGTCAAATTGTAGGGCTAAATGCTTTTGAAAGCCCAGAAACACCTTTAAAAATCTGTTACGTTGGCAAAGTGTTATACTGACATTTATACTGATTTAGACTTTGAGATTAGAAAAAAGATCGCATCCTTCTACATACAGTATAGTGCATGTGTAACTAGCAGAGCAAGTTCAAGCAACAACACACATTTTTTTATCAAAACTGCAAACCAGTTTAGTTTGCTTTAAACTTTGTACATACTGTAATCTTTGTTATTATTGAAATAAAAAATGTTTGCTTTAAACTTTACACTGCTGCTAAAAAGAAAATTAAAATTTGTAAATGGATATATTTGGCTGCTGCTAAGAGGACAAATTGTCTCACAGTAGTCATAGGACTGATGGATCTTCGCATGCAAAACTTTGACTGACAAGTTCCAGTATGGCTGGACTTCTCTCTGTTGAAAGCAAACAACCAGACACAGAAAATGAAGTGGTTGAGAAATAATGAAAAATAATGTCATCTGACTACAAAAGTGTATGTACAACACATGATCTATGATCACAAGATCTATGCTGTTTACTGACATAGTAAAACAAAGTCAAGTACTGTTTGTTACAATTAATGTCACTTTGCAAAAATCTCAATTACATTATTTTCTGAAATATATAAATGCATGTGTGTGAATTTATATATACATAATAAATATACACAGTACACACACATATATTATGTAAACATATTTACACAACTTTATTTTGGATGCGATAAATTGCGGTTAATCGTTTGACAGCACTAATTGAGATTTAATCAATTAATGAATCAATAACTCACCTCTCCCAGAGGCAAAGAGACCGTAATCTGTTGTTTGGCTGGTAATGGTTTTAAAGGGATAGAAGTCAATCCAGTGTCCACAGGGTCTGGAACAGCAGCATCCACTACTGTCCCAATCTGGAGAAAAGTATGTTCAAGCAAACATTTAAAGCCAAACTTTGTTTGTTTCATGTGCTTTATAAATCTACAAGCCATTATGTGAGGTACTGTATACATACATACTGTTTCATAAGTAATAAATTGTATGTGGTAGATTTTACAGCAATTTACAATAAAATTGTAATGCCAGTTGTCATGGATGACTTACATTTGCTGGGCTGACAATAGTCTCTGAGGTCAGATTAAGTTCAGTTTCCAGGTCTCGGTTGATGTAGTAACGTAACCTTTTCAGGGTGCTGGAGCTTTCCTCAGAATTTGAGATCACAAACTCCTCTTTGTATGCCCCTTTCAGTTTTAACACCATGTTCTGCGTTGCTGGAACACAGAGAATAAGCAAAAAACACCTAAATCCAGGATTATATGTGTTTCCAAAATGTATTTATATAACAGAACATTTTAACATTTAATTTTCTTTTACAGTTATTTCTGAACATCACTGAATTCCCAGTAGCTGTCTAATATCATTTACATTTATATCATAACATTTGCATGGGAAATGTGGATGAAAATGTCTTTATTTACCTTCAGTCTTCTTTAGAAGCTTGTCTATCTCCACATTCAGCTCACAAAAAGGACCTGCCTATTTTAAAAGGAAAGCATAAAGCTTATCTGATAAAGGTTATCTTATATATTTATTGTTTGAGGGTTTAGTTAAGAGTGCATGTAGCCTATATTAAAACTGTAGCTTTTTAGGAAGACACCTTCTTATACTGTACATCAGAAAATCATTTTAAATCATCTGACTGCAACTCATGATACAGATAAGAAAGCTGTAGTAAAGGTTTTACCACCAAAACTCCATTAGAGATGCATGCCGTTGGTGTCTCAGAGCTGCAACACATTTGTGTGTTAAACACAAAACAGACACTTTCAGATTTATGTGTATAGACACATTCAACTGTACAACCGGTTCTCACTTGTACCTATTTTTGCAAATGCTCACTAGAACTGCTGAAGGCATACTCACTCACCTCTTAGTGATCTCAAACTCCACCCACAGTTCATCCTTGGTCTGAAAACGAAAGTAGTCACAAATTAAATATCAAGGGCTCTATCAACTAAGTGTTTATTTTATGTTGAAATGTCTGTTTAGATATGAGATCTCCATATAGCACTGACCTTGTCATTTATTATAAAGCATTTGGTCTCCTTTTTCCCAGGTGTGAGGTTATTGATGTCAAATAGGATAGTGGCACAATGGTCGTCTCTCATTAATGGATCCTCATCATAGATCAAGATCTCTAGAATGTTCTGTGTATAGAAAAGAGCAAAAAAGGAGTTAAAGTGTCGTTCATATGACACATCTTACTGGAGACATAAATAGCGAAGGTTAGAAATAGGATATAACATAATAAAACATTCTAAGATCAGACAACATTTTAGTGGTTTACCTTGATGTTGCTGTGCACTCTGAAAGTGAAAGTTTCATTCCATTCAGGTTTCTTGCTATTTGATATAGTCTTGGTGCGATTTGTACGGACCGATGCTGTGGGTAAGTTCAGGATGACATAGCAGTCAGACGCAGTCACTAAAGAGAAATTGAGGTAGGGTTGGAAAAGTTAGTAAGTTGGCTGACAGAATTAAGTGTTGATCTATTTGTATGCATGTATACTCATAAATAGAGGTTACTGTTGGACTAGTTGTCAAATTGTAGGGCTAAATGCTTTTGAAAGCCCAGAAACACCTTTAAAAATCTGTTACGTTGGCAAAGTGTTATACTGACATTTATACTGATTTAGACTTTGAGATTAGAAAAAAGATCGCATCCTTCTACATACAGTATAGTGCATGTGTAACTAGCAGAGCAAGTTCAAGCAACAACACACATTTTTTTATCAAAACTGCAAACCAGTTTAGTTTGCTTTAAACTTTGTACATACTGTAATCTTTGTTATTATTGAAATAAAAAATGTTTGCTTTAAACTTTACACTGCTGCTAAAAAGAAAATTAAAATTTGTAAATGGATATATTTGGCTGCTGCTAAGAGGACAAATTGTCTCACAGTAGTCATAGGACTGATGGATCTTCGCATGCAAAACTTTGACTGACAAGTTCCAGTATGGCTGGACTTCTCTCTGTTGAAAGCAAACAACCAGACACAGAAAATGAAGTGGTTGAGAAATAATGAAAAATAATGTCATCTGACTACAAAAGTGTATGTACAACACATGATCTATGATCACAAGATCTATGCTGTTTACTGACATAGTAAAACAAAGTCAAGTACTGTTTGTTACAATTAATGTCACTTTGCAAAAATCTCAATTACATTACAATCATATAAAGAAATCCAAAAAGGAAATACTAGCTAACCTTAAGCATTGTTGAATGTTTGCGCTGAGATCTGGATCCAGCTGCCTGTGAAACTCAAATGAGAATGCATGTGAATGCAAAAGGTGGCGCTTGCGCAGCTTGAAAAGCTTTTTTTCCTGCTTATCCAGAATACATTCCAAGAATACATATTGGTTTTCTTATAAAGTCACAAGTCAGCCTTCTCATCCACAATGCAGGTTTTCATAACAACGCATAAATATTGTTAAGACATGCCAGAACAAGACAGAATGCTTTTACAGTGAACTGATATAAATCTATGTAAGTAACAGGAGAGCATACATTCACTATGATCGGGAATTCAACATAAAATTCCTCTGTAATGACAGTTTTTTGCTTCTACAAAAACATTTTAAAGCTGTCATCACTCTTACAATGATTCACCCAGTTTCATTTCTAAACTTATGCAAGTGTTCACATTGCAGAGTTTTGTCACCTCAAAATGATGTCTGATGTTCTGCTTATATGAAGTTGCATTATTTGAGTCTGCATGGTACATTCACTTGCTGACTCATTTTCAATGGATTTTAAGTGGCTACTCACCCAGGTCAATGAATACAAGGTTGCTTTAGAAGAATATCTTCAGACTGTCTAGGTCTGTCTGGGACTCTGGGTATAACTTGTAAAGTAGCTTGAGTGCTGTTCCTCTTTTTAAGCCAATATCACAAGGTCATGGCTGTAAAACTATTCAGCAAAAACATTTTCTGATTAAAATTCACATCCCATTTCTTTGTAAGTGTTACTGTAACATGCAGATTTAAATACAAAGAGAAAAATAGAATGATGAATGAAGACTGTTACGCCTATTTTTTATATTTTTTAGAACTTGATAGAAAGAAGAACAGCAATTATTTTTCTTATCCCATAAAAAGACTACTACTTACCTATAAATTACACAGCAGTGTCAACACGTTATCATTGGCAGTATTGTCACTGTGTTTTATGCGTGTGCCGGTATCGCCCAAGGTGTCCAAAAACAAGTACGTTGCCAGTGGGTGGGGCAAGTACCTTTATTTAATTCACAGTAAAGCACAAAAGACATGCTGTTTCAGTCAACCAATTACTGACTAGTAAACAGTTAGTCTCCACCTGCATTTTGAGCATATGACCACATACTTGCCCTTCTCAAATACTTGATATCACCACTAAGATGTCTGATGCAAAAGGACAACAATAAGCATAGTTCAACTTAATAATTAAATACAAATTCTCCTCTAACACTGTGAAATCTGTTTGTTTTATCATGTAGTGTGCGTGACACTGCTGTACTTCAAAACTGTAATTATACATGCTGCTTTACATGCTGCTGTTGTGACTCCATATTACAGTTTTTTCAACTGCTTACACACAACATCTTTACTTGTCACACAATTTCTGAAACCTGACACTCAAACACCAGAACTACACACCAAATCTGCAAAACCATACACTAATTCTCGGCCTTTGACTCAGTTTTCAATTTCATAAAACACATTTTGCAAAACACAACACACAATTCTCTATGTAACAGGAATTAATCTAACAGGAATTAATATTATGGCAAAAGTAAAACAAACTTTTTGCATTTCTGTTTATAGTGTATATGTTTGTGTAGGTGTGTACAGTATACACACACACACAGAGAGAGAGAATATGCATACAAGCCAAGTCAGAAAGTCAACTTTATTTCTAAAGCACTTTATACAATATAGATTGTTTCACATAATCTTCACAATAGCATCAAATTCGAATTCTGCTGTAAAGCAGCTCTAACAAGTCAAGTGTCATTATACTGTACAACTCAAGTCAGTTCAGTTGCATAACTGTAAATTTCATCAGTTGTACATACATATTGTATATAAACTTGAATATGGATAATGATATTGCCATTTACCTGTTTCAAAGTTGTTATTTGCTTGTTTTAAGTTAATGCCATATGTGCTTTGAGATAAAGATGCTAACACTTGCAAAACCTGAATAAACAACAATTGTGAAAGTTAGATGTCTGAGTTAGATGTCTGAGTTTGACAGTGGTGAAGAGAGCATGTTGCAACATCAAACAGACATGAGACAGACAAAGACTACGAAGAAGAAAGTGCTAGACGCAGACAGCAGCGTAAGCCACAAAGGAAAGACATCCATCATTGGTCACACAGACACTGATGTGTAATTGGAATAACCCAAAATGATGTATAAAAGTAAACCACTATTCAGATGCTGCCTGTATTAAGCGTGAAGGACACTGATAAACTACTAATGGCCGCTTAACAGCATCTCAAGTATTGCTGCTTAGAGTTTGGTTATAGAATTTGTAACTTAGCTGATTTTTTGTTGTATTTTTGCATTTAATGTAACCAATAAAATAAGAGATTTTATTGTTATGATTGCCTCCCGTGAGACTACTTTTAACTACAAACTAAGCCTCAGACAAGAACAACCACAAGGGAGTCTTCTACGTCAATACAAAAGTCATTACCCTACCTGAATAATTATAGAGTTAAAGGTGTAAGATAAAAGGACACAGAGTAACAAAACAGAAATTGCGCAGAAATTGTCCTCACTGGTTATCATATTTTATTATATTACTGAGGACATTTGGCCCTCACTCACAAGTATAGCCAAACCTGTACACATACTGTAGGCCTTACCTGCCAATTAATTTAACATAGCCTAATAAATCCTAATATTTATTAACAAAACATTGTTTTGATGTTACCTTTCACATTTACGCTGTGTTTTGTGTTTTAACTGTTTAAATGTAGCTTTAAAATGTCTATAATAGACAGTTTAATGACAGGCTCAATTATTGTGACAACTTACCCCATCGCGCCGTTTGTTGTCAAACCGTTATCAAAGAACGGTATCTTTTTCGTTGCCAGCTGCCGAATCGCTGGGCCACAATGTGGAAATGTTCAAACCCCTTTTTGTAGCCAAAACTCTTAAGTTATGCGTCTATACAGGAATTAACTTAAAAATAATAATAATTATTTATTGTAACAAATAATTACTGGAATAAATAAAAGTTACAACTAGCCTCGTGTGAAGTCGTTATGCCACCAGAAGATGGCGCCAGTCGCTAAAATGTAGGGGACTGAGGAAGCGTCGACTCGACACAAACGCATTGACAAATGTGCTCAAGGTCTGTTTCCATTCTCCACATTTTTGTAAACAAGTTTTAACCTACGTTTCCTCTTTCCAGGCTACTTTTGATTATAGATACTTCTCCAGTGGCTCAATTAACCAACTGCTGAAATATATCAACTACTACTGACGGTATGTGTTCCCAGATTCTGTTCACGTTCTTCGCTAAAATAAATCTTAAGAAACACATTTCAGTGTATGTGCAGTAAAGGTGTCCTAACCAGACTTTGTATTGACTGCATCTTTTTGAATCACTCCAGCACAGTCCCATTTATTCACATACAGATCCCCTCTTCCCACAGCTGCAAATCGTCTGTGCATTATATTCCACCGCGTATCGCATTAATTTACCCTCAAACTCATAGCGGTGCTGTAACAGCTTGAGGTCTTTAGGATGCTCCTATAAGTAGAGCTTTGTGGATGAAATCCTGAAAGTGGGACAGTAGCGGCGAAAGGGAGAGCTTTATCCTAAAAAGCCTAAATGCTGCATGACATTTTATAACTGCAGATTGTTCCACTGGGAAAATATTTCCACATTTGTCAGAAAATGACTTTCAAATCTATTATTTTTAGATAAATGTAACATGTATTTATCAGTGCAAATATCTTTGTTGATTTTCTTTGTGTAAAGAGAAAAGAAAATCATGAAAATGTTTACAGTTCCTTTGTTTAAAAGAATAAATGTTTTTCTTTCAAATTCTTTTTCCCCGTTGAATACAAAGCTTTTGTGTGCCTTTTGAATTCTTTAAAAAACTTTAAATGACTGTACTTTTTAATTTTACAAGACCGTGTTTGCTTTTGTTGCACACAAATTCCTCATCTCTTTGCAGCCCAGCTCATTGAATTGAAATTGGAGTGATTGTCTGAGATTTCGTCTCGAAGATGAGCGCCATGGCTACAAACACCCCTCCTGCTCCACCTGTAATGGTTCTGAAACCCCACATTAGACCCTCACAAAATGTGCTCTGATGAGAAACCTCAGCCTGTGTGCTTACACACACACACACACACACACACAGACTCCAGGTCAGACTGACACACTTAGATGAAGCTGTGTTTTTTTTTCTCTGCTGGTATTATATGGTCTATTATGATTTGAAGATGGTTCCTAGCACTGTTTTGAATAGGAGAGCAGAGGCTGAGAGATGCTATTGATTTGTTAAATCTGAATGAGAGGCTTTAGGTAACAGGATGGAAGAGAAAGAGAGGGAACATTGACGACATGCCATCCAGAACAATTATCTGAAAATCACTTCCGTTTGAAAACAGCCAGGTCTGTGTCTAATCCTTGAGAATATACAAACCTCCATGCAATTTTGAGACATTGCATGTAAAACAATGATTATATGACCTGCCTGAAAGTACCAGACTTCAAAAATGTTCTATTTGATTGTCTACAAATAAACACTTTATAATACACATACACAATCAGCTATAGCATATTTAATTATATATAATTGTTATATATATATATAATTTCCCCCCCCTGCATAAGTATCCTATTGAGGTGAGGCAAATATTATGCAGTAATGCAGTATAATATCATTTATGTTAGTATTATTTTATGAAACTAGTAATTTTCTAGTTTCCACTTAAATTGTGTATTTACACAGTAAGAAGTGTAGAAACGGGGCCAAATGTACTGTGTTAATATGAAAGAATTTTCCGTATTGATTTTCACATATTTTTACCAGTATTTTGAATTACAGAAGGGGTTGTGTTGTGTTTTAGGGTTAAAAGAAATGTCTGTTAACGTCACGGATAATGTCCTGGCTGAAAATTATCAGTAACTTTTCCATTTTTCTAATGATTTTTTGTTGAAGTCTACATATAGATAGATAGATAGATCTTAGAAATGTAAAAATTCTACTTGACTGATTTAAAATAAATTCACTATACTTTATATACTCTTACCCAATTTATAGAGACCCCTTAAAAATACACTTAATCAGTAAATACAAACACCTCAATTTTTGTTTGCGCTGTTTATCTCTTTTAAATTTCTATACATTCTGTTTTTTGCAAAAATAAAAAAAAGCTCATAAATCATTTGAATAATCACCATGTAATTCAAACCTGTAAGTATTATTATGTTGTGGATTCATTGGACATTACTTTTTATTACTGTTTTAGTGCAGGCCATGTTTGTATTTACATGTCACAGCAAGGTTCAAACTCCTGAACTTTCTTACTTTGTCTAGATAGAAGCAGCTGTCTGTTTCATCCCCCCCAACACAAGCAACAATCCACCTTTGTGCGAGAGTATGAACTTTTCAGAATATCATTTCAGAACAACCCCTCTCTAGCAGTAGCACGGTATGTTTTGAAACCATTCCCAGGTTTTGGCTACTTGTACATTTGACACGTAGATGGCAGAAAGAGGTACAAGGAACATTAGCAGAATATAGGTGTTAGCGATATGGAAGAGAGTCTGCTTAGCTCTACTAATGAGCTATTAAGAGCAAGATAGGACTCGAGTCTCTCCCCCTCGGCCTCTTTTGCAGCCAAAACACACTTTGTCTGGTAATGGGTGTATTAGCGGAGTAAGAATGCACTGGTGTTAGTTGGGGGTGGCAATTGGGATCTGTTTTTTACCCTATTACAGTAGCATAATTCAGGGTTTTTATTGTTGAAACACGGAAATACATTTACTGTATTAGGAATTAGTAGCACCTAGACTTTAGTCCCTATATTTTTATAATATTTTATGTATTATCACAGTTTTGTGATTTAGTTTTACAAACCGATGAACAATTTATTTATGTATCGATGTAATTAGGGAAGCATATCTGTGCCAAAACGGTTTAACTGTCTATTTTAGATATTAGTTTTTTATTTATCAA